TATATATGTATAAAGTGTGTGTGTCATTATCTGTGTCAGTCTGGGGTAAACTGCTTGTAGTTTATTCATATATGTATCTATAAAATCAAGCATACGCAATGTGGAATGTAAATGTAAGTAATGTGTCTGTAATTCTTCAAAGAAAGTTCATTTTATTGCTTAAATCCATCTAGAAATAGTTGATGCTTCTATGATATCAAGTATGCGCAGTATTTTACTACCAAATATTTGTTTTTGCAAGGAAAACAGTTTGTTGAAGCTGAGACCTTAGGTTTCCTTCAATTCAACTACTGTTGGGGAGCTTTTTTGAATGGAAAACTTTTCAATGCTACTAAAATGTTACTAATTCATTTTTTTTTTATTTAGACGCTCCTTATTATAATTATTTATTACTGAATTTATTATTGAACATTTTACGTTTATTATTATTATTTTGTATTTATTTTTTAATTTTTATTTCTGATTTATTATTGATAATTTCTTATGGTACATATGTATATTTGTGTATTATTATTTTTATTTTTTATTTGTATAACGAATTTTTTTTACATTTCTTAAGATATGATTATAGTTTCTAAATTGCAGACATTTATTATTATTAGTTATTGTTGTAAAGATAATTTAAGTAAATATGTGCTTGAATAACTCGACTTCCGTATATAGGGCCTGTTAATGGAGTCATAATCTCTGGCCCATGCCGTATTAAGTTCCTCCTTTTTGCAACTTTGTAACCAGAGGTGAAAAACCAGAGTATAAATTTACGAAAAATTCCGATAAAAGCCTCCTTGGCATTTACTTAATTGACAAATAAATCCGAGAACTCTGTCAAGGGTGGAGGCAGCATCAGCATCAGCATCAGCAGCTAGTAGCCCAGTGCTCTAATTTCTTTTGAATAATTAAGGAGACTGGATGTGCACCGGCTAGGGAATTCATCGATTGACATCGAAAGGAAACGGCACAACGGAAAAAAGAGCCGGAGAGCTTCTCTCGATGGGTGTGGGAGGGACTGGCTTTGAGAAATCCAACCATTTGATTTGAATAGCAGCCAGCAGATAGCAGACAGCATTTGGATATTATCAGTCTGGCCTCAAATTAAAATAGTTAATTTTTCATTGGGGCCAAGCTTTTAAACGTACCCCCCGCCTTTCGGCCTTTCTGCCTGCCGCGAGTACATGTCTAGATGTTGCAGTTGCAATAGTTTTGCTTTGTTTGATTCTGGCCTGCAGTTCCGGTATCGCTCTCGTTGGCATCGGATCGGAGTTGTGTCTCTCCCTATCCCTCTACCTCCCTCCATCTCCATCTCCATCTCTCTTTGGTCTATATTCATATAGCGTATTAATTCGCGAAAAAACTCGTGAAAAGCAACACTCAACAGTCGACACTCCAGGCTCAAGCAGCTCAGCGCTCATCAATTAGTCAGTCAGACAGAGTAAGTGAGTTATAATTGCCTGGGGAGTACTCGGGTACGGGTACCCGTACTTGTAGTTGTATTTTGGCAAAATTCGCCTCCGCTAAGTGTTCTTTAATGTAATGTACACACTCGTTTATGCACACAGAACTACGAGTATTTCTACGGGAGTACGAGTACTCTAAAGAGAGGGCAAGAGAGTGTGTTTAATGGCCTTTTGCAAATGACTTGTTCACATTTCATTCATTATTTATGTGACGGTCACGACTGTCGGCCAGACAGGTGCTGCAGTGTGGCTGGTGGCACTTTTGTTCCCAGTTGCCAGGGCAATGCACAGGCCAAGGCAGTGACGTGGTCTAGATGCGTGGGTACAATGCAATTACAATGCAATAGTAGCTGCCAAAACGGAAACGAAAACTTTCTCCATTTCTCCGTTTCTCCATTTCTCCATTTCTCCGTTTCTCCATTTCTCCAATTCTTTCATAAATCAGCAAAATGTTTAAATCTTAAGTATTTTATATTGATTTATAGTTTTATACGATTTTCAAACACATTAAAGCACTCAAATATGCGATAGATGTACAGAAGAATCCTGACCCAGAAAAATATCAAAAGTATGCTAGAAATAAGCTCGTTAATACCAGAAAAATACTGTATAAATGAATACCCGGTATCGTTATATATCGACTCTAACGACACGAATCAAAAATCCTGTGATGCGACGCACTATTCTCTGTGAATATCGCGGGTTTTTGATTTCAAATTCCAAATATGAGAAAGGGAGGCCTACAACCTTATTTCTCACGCAATATACACTTGGGTTAATGAAAATTTAATGCTTAATGGTAAATAAATAAATCTACCTACTGTTTTTGTCGAGATTGTCGAGATTTTGTCGAGACTCTGGAGGATCTGAAGGAAAACATGGTATTAAAACATTGTTTTTAAATCAATGTGAATCAAATTATAATGTTTATTGGTTAAAATAGTTGAGTTTCGATCATTTTTGGACATAAACATCGGTACTGAACTATTGGGAAATTTTTTTGAACTAACTTTGAGGTTTTTTGATCTCGGTGTAACTTTCCATGGAAACCTATTATTAAATATTGCATGAAATCCATTTAGATTCTGGACTAAATATGGATTCCCATGGTTTATCCATGGACTAAGCATTTCTAAGAACACACCGCATTGCCTACTTATTGGGGCGACCGCAAGCCCGTCTTTAATGAGAGAGAAAATTTAAAGCCAAATGTTTGGTCCGACTTTGAAGATCAAACCCTGAAAAGATAAACCTATTAATGCTACAAAATTTATATGCGTATGTGTAAGGACATCGGAGTGTTGGGAATACTCAAATGACTGGCTGACTGACCGACTGACTGACGGTGGGACTTGGGACCCAAAGCCGAAGAGACAATCTCATAAAAAACACGCATTCCCATCTATCTACACACACACACACACACACACGGAAGCCCGCACACATGAATTGTCATTGCAGCACACTCGAACGTACACCACCCACACACACATAAGACTCGAGCACATGGAGAGTAGAGCAGCAGCAGCATGCCGGGCGGGCCAACAGCTAGCCAATTTGCTGCCCGTCACTGAAGAGGGTGCAGGGAGTAGACAGAATAGGGACGAAAGTGTAGTGGGAAATGGCAAGAGAAGTGAAGAGGAAAGATAGAGAAGAGTAGGGGACGGAGGCGAAGGCGAAGGCGAAGGCGGAGGCGGGGGCGGAGGCGGAGACGGAAAAATGGAAGCAATTGAGCGAGGGAGGGTAGGCGGCATATTGATGGTGGGCTTTTTAAATTGGGACACGTGCGTCGGCTGCAGCTCTCCTCCGAAATTCACCACAAAAACAGATAGCCAGCCGAAAAAAAAGCTCCGCATTCTCCGCTCCGTTCTCAAAATTGCGCGCGCCCAAAACATGCTGCTCTCTTGAACGCACTCTCTCTCTTTCTCTCTCGCTTGGGCCTTCTCGCTCTAAAACTTTGAAAGGTTCAATGACGAAGCAGGAAATACCCTAGACAAGAACCGAACTGAAGAATCTATATGTAGATGGTATATGATATTTTAAGAAGATTTAAGAGAGGCAATGTGGCTTGCATTGGGAATTGATACGATAGTTTTCAGAATATTGAACATCTTCAGTATGAAGCCATGGATGTCTCAGTGTAATATATACACACATGTACATATTAATAGGTACACGTTGATAGTTTTCAATAATAATCAGTTATTTTGTATATATTGATATCAGCGTGAAACGTTTTTGTCGCGGCACACCTCGGATGGACCCTACCTTGCTGGCTATCAAAGGGTATATGCCGCCGCCTCGAGCTTCTGAAAGTTTTCTCCCCGCCTTGTCATGTTTTATTTTCGTTTTGTTGTTTCTCTTCTGTTTCCTTCCATTTGGCGAAATAACACGTGCACTTGTCTCCCTTTCTTTGCTCTCTTTCTGTGTGTGTGTGTGTGCCATTCGTTACCGTTACGGTAGCCCCAAATGCTTCTGCCTGCTGCCTGCCGTCTGCCGAAGGTTCTGCCTGTGCTACTGCCACTGCTTTCGCCTTTTGGCCATCGTCGTGGTCGTCGTTGTCGTCGCATTCGCAATTTTCGTTTTAGCCGTTTTGCCAGCTTGCCGATTTCGGTTTTCGGATTTCGGCTGCGGGGCCCGAAAAATATTCGTGTGTGGCGCTTTCCTTTCCTTTCCGTCTTCATTGCGGTGTTACGTGTTTCGCGTGCCAGACCGACGCGTCGCGCGCGCTCCGAGGCGGCGACTATTGAACGAAATTATTTAATAATAATTTATAAATAATTGTAAAATACGAAACGCCAGGGGCTCTGCAAATAGTATCTATAGTAGCCAACAAAAGTGCCAACCGATCAACATACAATATATACATAAAATACATATACTTTTCGAATCGAAATTCGCAAAATTTCTTTTGACTTTTTTTTTTATTCTTGTTGTCTGTTTAGTGCCAAAAAAGATTTCAATCTGTGGGATCTTTGCTTTCAAAATGTGCAAAATACGAACAAAATATATCTATGATTATAACCGATTGCTGCTGAGTGGCCAAGGATGTGCCGGAGGCCAAGGATGGACGGCATCCTATGGTTGCTCTGGCTGCACAATCGTAAACACGGTTTCACAGTGGGTCTGGTCTGATGCTCGGAATTGATCTTGATCTTGAATATATGTATATCTATATAACTACGAAATTGCAAACAAACCTCTTGTTTATTTATTTTTAGCGACTTTCGTAGACACAAATCAAATAATATATGTGAAATATTAGGAAACCATTTGAATGATGTGTCCAAATCGAAAGTTTTTTGAATTTTAAACTTGAAGATATATATACATCTATTTTAGATATCGACCTGCAGTAATTTGTGATACGAGAACACCAAATATTTTTGAATATTTTATTAAACTTAAGCAATCAATGTAGCTTCCAAATAGCGAATTTCAAGGCGAATTTGTTAGACGGAAAATTCGTATAGAAAACTGTATTGTATGAAGGTTCGTAATAGGGTGTAGCGCTTGGGCATCCTTTATGAGGAATCGTCATTGAATTTTGATCAAAAATCTGCTGGAAATGTCTGCCTTTTGGCAAAAGCCAATGCACTTTGTGGCTGAAGAGCAGTTTCCCCACAAATCCCCCCAAAGAATAATACAGAACACTCGAAATTTGTTTGGAGGAGCCTCCCACTGTGTTTGCATATAAGTATTATACACATACCCATCTCCAGCAATGAAACTAAATATGGGTTAGTCTTTATCTCAATGGTAGAGAGCAAAGAGCACTGCTGGGGATACAAAAAAACAAAAGGGGGACACAACATCTGTGCCACAGTGGCAGCCAGCAGTGTTCCCCTGCGGATTTGGGCTCCAATTTCTGGTGTGGCTGTATTCCTTTGAGCCAAAACAAACACACAAAAAACCCAGAACAGAACAGAACACAACACAAAAAAAGGAAAAAGGGAAGGAAAGAAAATGGTTCAATAACTCCGCGTGCTGAACTTTAATGTCGTGTGAATTGCATTAGAGCCAGACAGAAACCGAGCCAGAAGCCGAAACAGAAACAGAAACAGGAACAACAGCCACACAAGAGAAATTGTGTTTAGTAAGTAATTACCCAGTCACGCCACTTGCCTTTGCACTGTATACCCTCTGTGCACTGAGAGGCAGAGAGAGAGAGAGAGAGAGAGACAGAGGGTATGCTCGAATTGCGAGGCGGGCAAATGGTTTGCTTAATGTTTGCTCTATAATAATAGTAGCCTAAAAGCTATTGCATCTGATCTTTTGGATCCCCTCTTAATTTAATTTAATTTAATTGTGGTAGAATCACCCATTAGTTCCGGCCCTGGAAGTGGTGGTTCAGATCAGAGACTGCCTTTTATCCAGGGTATTTATGGACTCGCTATTTTCACTCGCTGTTGCTTGGCTGTAAGTTTTATTGTGGTGTTGTTCCGTGCTTGAATTGTTGTGCCCTGATATCGATAAACCCCCACACACACACACACAGGGGCACACTCGCATTGCCTTGCCCCTGGTACAATATGTCTGCACTAACCTTGTTGATTCACTTCCGTCGTCGCCGCCGCTGATGGGAATATAATGCAACCAAAAGATTTGGCTATTATGTAGGCAGGAAAGGGCCGGGTGGAGTTCGTGTGAGAAATGTAATTTCAATATGACATGCCACGTGTCACTTGATCTGGCTGCCGATAGGCTGTGGTGGCAGGGCAATCGGTGTGGTAGTTGCATAAGGATCGTAATAACGCAATTAGCAGCGGCTTTTGTTCGCTTTGAAACCTAATTCTGGGGATAGAAGAGTTTGGAAAAAGCTCTAAAAGAGAGACCTTTCCTTTAAGACCAATCATCGGTCTACTTGAGAATTGTTGTTGCAAATCAGTTTTTGGAGGACCTTTCGCACACAGACAGCCTCGGAAACCTATCTGCAAACATGCAACGAGTGGCGCACACATCCCATATCCTGTTTCCGGCATCCTGTTTTGCCTTCATCATTTCATCCTTTCATACTTTAGTCAATATCCTGGCTCTGCTTTTGGGTTTTATTCAGCTTTGAAATGGTAAGGACAAATGTGAGAGAGGGGTCTCCGTTACTCTCATCTGTTATCCGTTCTGCCCTCATTCTTCATCCGTTTTTCAACATTCTTTATCCCCAAAGACTAAATCTCAGCCGCTCATCTTTTGTCCCCATTCTTTATCCCTTTTATCACTCCGCCTTCATTTTATCCCTTCTCGTATATTATTTATTCCTTTTCCGCTCACACTTTATCCCCCTTTGCTCATTCTTTATCTCTTATCCCCTATTCCTCAACTCTTTCGTATTCCTTGTTCTTTTGTTGTTCATATTTTATCCATTGATCCTTATTCATCCGCTATCTATTATCCGTTTTGCATCATCCTTCATTCTTTATCCTCCACGCCATCATTCTCCGTCACTTACCCTCCATTTTGTATCCCTTTTGCCTCATTCTTCATCCGCTATGCCTCAGTTTGTTTGCTTTTCACTTGATTTTCATCTGGTTTTCCCCATTATTCATGGCTGTTCTCTCGTGCCTCATTCTTTATCCGTCTTCCTTCATTCTTTATCCCTCTTGCCACTTGCCTCATCCTCATCGATTATCGAATGTTTTATTCACACTCGGATGCACATCCGTGCTCCCATATTCATATTCGTTCGTGTATTCGTATTCGTTTTCGTATTCGTATGCCCGCATATTCATAGGCCAGGCCGACGTAGGCCGTAGGCCGGTCACTCTGGGAATCGAGTCACTGGGTCAGGGCAGCAGCAGCACCAGCAGTTGCTCTCCCGTTCTCTCCTTACCTCTATTCTCTCCTCTCCTCTCCCCTTACCTTCCCTTCCCTTCTCTGTCCTCTGCTCTCTCCTCTGGCCAGGCCTGGCCACAAAAGGAAAGCCCCCATCAAAAGGAGAGGAGGCAGGCCGCAGAGAGCCAGAGAGTGAGAGAGAAATGCGGCATATCGACCGGTGTTGGTGTCACGCCATGCTGCGGTTGTTAAAAAAAAAAAAAAAAAAAAAACAACAACAAAATACATCCACTCTCACACATGCATATACATATATGCATACCATATGTACACAAGTGTGTGTGTGTGTGTGTTAGTATTTTATACATACATATTTATTTTATTATTTGCACTTTTGGCTACGTGCTGCGCAAGTGGCAGAGTCGGACAAAACGGAATTCCAATTGGGTTGCTTTGTTGCTGGGCTCTCGCTTTTGGCCTATGCCTCAAAACCCTTTTAAGCCGCCACATGAACACAAACACACGCAGACACAGACAAATGGCAACATGCACATGCATGTTGCAGTTGCAAGTCAAGGTTGAATATGGGATGATGATGGGCCCGAGGATGATGCAGTCAGTCCCAGAGACCGAGCCCAGTGCCGGGGAAAGCCAGCAGCGAACTGCATCAAATTGGATTTTCATTCTTCTTCTCTTTTTGCTTTTTGGCCCTTCTCCCATACCGTTTCTCTCACCCAAAGGGTATCAAAGTTGCGCGTCATGCGGCAGGGCCCCTCGGTCATCCGCCTGGGGATCCGTCTTGAGGGTTTGGTGTTGTTCTGTGAGGAAATGAGGGGAGACGTGATGCAAAATGAGGGGGGGTTAGGTTCAGTATCCTTTTGTGGTCTCTCAAGAAAACGTCAGAAAAAAAGGATCGAAATCGGCAATCGTATAGCAGCCATAGAAGTTATGGCTTCATATTCTACATGGGGAACCCTTCGATCCATTAAGGGCATCCAAATCATCGATCCTAGTGTTATTCCTTCTGCTGCTGCTGGTCTTCTTTGTGCCTGTGCCCTGGGCACATAATTAAGAACCAGAACCAGAAGCTGACGCTGTAACTGTTTTTGTTGCTGCTGCTTTAATAAGCTTGTAAACAGCTTAGGCTTTCGGCCTTCCCTTTCACTCTGTCCCTTGACCAACCACCCCCACCCTCAACCCCTTTCCGGCATGTGCTGCTTGTGCATGCTTTCTCGTGTCAAGGTCAGAGCCATCGACGGCCGACTACCGACTACCGAGGAACAACAACTGCCAGCAGCAAAAAGATAATCGTGAATGATGCGATTTGAGTGCAGACACCAGAATATCAGCGAGACATTCGAACAAACAAACAAACAAACAAACAAACGACACCGACCGTATTGTGGCAACAGCAAAAAGGCGATGAGACAGAGAGAGACTTGCAACACAGAGAAGGAACTGTCCGACTATGTGTACTTCTGTCATCTGCCGCGTGCTGCATTCCAATGCATTCCAATTGCATTGCATTGCTGTGGTTTCCTTCTCTGCTTCATACCCCATACCATGCCCCATGCCCCATAGCCAATACCCCATCCCCAGGGCATGTGTGTGGCATGCAAATTAAACAATAGCGGTAGCGGATTGTGTTTTTAAAAAGTTTTTATTTTACTTCGAACTTCACTGATATAGATTTAAGTAGAGGGTCACAAAGGAATTCCGGGCAAGGGATTGCGCGATCTTAATATTGAGCTAGACTTTGCGGTGTCGCTGCTGGATCAAGACTGATTTGAACTTTCTGATCTTTGCATCGTTGATCCCTTTCGGGAATCGTTTTTCTATAAACATTTCAATTGATTTCGCCATCCCGAGTATTAGATTTCGTCATCCAAAGAGAGAACTGTAAAAGGCCTAAAGTGCAGGATCTGCAGAAAGCCGGGAGTGAGATTGTTTATGAGAAGCCGGGTGTGGGCAAACATTGGTTTTCCATTTAGGCGAGTGTCAAAGAATGGGATTGCGGCGGGGGCGCTTGAGATTGTACATCTTAGAAATCAATTAGGCGGAGGCCCAAGATTGAAATTGTTTTCGTTTTGGAAAACCAAAGATTGTTTACAACTCGTATAAGAGCTCAATGGAATTGGGTACGTTAACTCCCCCCATTCTTAAATGTTTCGTCCCGATACATTTTGAAGTTCTGATAGAGCTCTAATTTCTTCTGACAGTATTTGAATGTTGCTTTCCACTATTTCTTCTGACGGTATTCTTATTGATTTAATAAGTACAAATTTGGTTAATTTATAGCAGAAGTAAAATAACATTAACAATATCAAAATGATTAAAAATAATGTTGTTAATGGTAAGGCCGTATTACCTAATGTTATAAGGGGATTTAAAATATTAACATTATCAAAAGAAAATTGCTTATCATTTGATTGTATATAATCAACTAATTCAAAATCGCTATATCTATGATGCGATATATATTTTAGAATTTTACCCTTATCATTTATGTGGGTTATATTATTTATTACAATTGTGTTGTTGAATATAAGGAGATACGATCCTAACAAAGTAGTATTGTCTACGATATTTTTGCCTGAAACTAATATGGCACCATCCTGAATGATGTCTATTTCTTTGTTTTTTTCCCTTTTTTTAGTGCAGTTGGCTTTAAAGCCATTAAGTAAATTGGTGAAACAGGTACTCTTTAAATTTATTTGTGCGTAATTGTTAAAAGTTTCACTTTTAAAATTATTCATTAAATAGTATTTCTCCTTACATTCACAAACTTTTTCACTTATAACTAACATTCCATCATTTTGTGAGATGGCTCTTGCATGGTAAAACTTGCAAATATCTTTAATTTGAGGATATTTTATGTAAATGATTATTAAATCTGCATTTCGAATTATTTTAACCGTTGCAATGTCCAACAGATCAGACAGTTCAACATTATGTTTTTCATGCTTATAAATGTCCTCTATTTCGTTTTTATTTAAAATTTTTGTATTGAAAATGTTTACTTTTAAGAGGGTTATGGTATCAACTAAATTTAGTAGGTCAAAAGTTATTAATTTTAAACGATGCTTTCTCAGTATCGTTTCTTCATTGAAGATGACATTCTTTAATGAATTTGATAGCAATTCAATTTCTTTGAAAAATTTGGAATTTATTACAAATTGTTTATTATTATTTTCAGTTAATTCATTTACTTTATTTTGTATTTTCAAAAAGTCGTCATGATCAGGGCTGCCTGCTATCCATTTCCAAATGGTACCTAATTCATTTATTCCCCTTTCTTTCCGTTTTGGAACTAATTCTGAAATCATT